TGGAGTGCCCGTTTACTTTGTGAATGTCACAATAGGCACTTTCATCTCTAACCAAAGTATTAGGAGGATTGTGTCTTCCTCTACTTGGGAATGGTTTCCCAACAGCATTAGTAGCAGGATTAACTCCGAACCTTTTTTGATCTTTAGGTTCGAACTTTTTTGTTGGATTTGCAATGACTAATTTAGCTAGCCGATGCTTCTTAGCGAGACTAAGTTTTTCTTCCTCCGCCTCCATCCAATTGTTAGCTCGGAAGAGAGCATCCTGGATGGTGCTTGGACGATTGACAATGAGCTCTTCCCGAAATCGGGATTCGTGCCAGAGTCCATTCCTTAAAGCGGATAGGGCAGCAGCATGCGATACCCCAGGAATTTTGGCTATCACTTCTTTGAATTTAGCGATATATTTGCGAAGTGGCTCATTCTGACCTTGGGTTAGATTCCAAAGATCTGCATCAGAAGTTACCTTTTCCATGAACATGGAATATTGTTTTAGGAATGTAGAGGACAATTCCTTAAAACTATCAATAGTTTCTGGTTCTAATTGGGTGAACCATAGCAGAGCCGGTCCGGATAGATTCTCGGAAAATAGTTTGCAAAATCCGGCATCTTCCTCGCCTGGTTCTAGATCAATCCTGCCTACGGCGATCTGAAAAGCAACGAGGTGATTTTTAGGATCTCTTTTACCGTCATAAGTTGGTAACTTAACCTTTCGAGAATCTTTGATCCGAAGGTTCGAGATTCTGGAGGTAAAGGGTGTTCGACGAGTTTCTTCGATTACTCGATCGATCTCAGGCGCCGAACTGGTAGCCTGATGAAATTTTGACTTCATCTCATTAAGCTCTTGACGAACTTTGATGAAATCATCTGATAGTGTGACATCGGGATCTTCCATAAGGAGTCCGTCGTCAATAGGAAGATTTCCCTGATCTTGGGGAATTTCTTCTTCGGTTGGGTTAGTCCCACCCCTTGCGGCTGCCTGATTGCTAATACTAGCTGGCTGGCCTATTGGAGGAGTTTGAGTAATCCCGGGAGTCGCGAATAACCTGCGCTGACGTATTTTTGTTCGCGCTGAGAACAAATTATCTAAACGGCTTGAAACAACGTTCTGCGCGTTTGACAAATTTGTCTGGGTGGTTTGAACACTCGTTAAGGTTTGCTCGATTGAGTTCAATCTTTCAACAAAAGTGGTGTTGGCACCAACAAGTGTACCCATCTGATTGGTCAGATCGGTGGTTGTTTGAGTAAGCAAGGTGATTGCATCGCCCAATGCTTGCTGCTCAGCCATAATTTCTTGGTATGGGAAAGAAAGATTTTGAGATCAAAGAGTTTTGTGGTAGATCCCCACAGGCGGCGCCAAAATGTGGATGTAGGATTCACACTCGACTGTCTTTAAGTATTTCAGTGGAGAAAAACTCTTGTAAAATCAGCAAAATGAATATAAGAATTCGAAAGGGAAAATAACCAAGAAAAGAAGTAAAGAAATTTGACAAGAACGAAGTACAAAATGCCTTGCGAAAGTAGTAAAGAGAGAAAGTATATTGTATTGCTTAGAAGTAATGAGTAAAAAGATTTGTCCCCTCAAACACATGCGTTTGAAGTTGTTTTTATAGAGAAAACATGATCAATGCGGTCATTTACTGCTCATAATCGCATTGATCCGCATTAATCATGTATGTTACAATTTGACCGAAATGGCTTGAATTTGAACTATCTTGGGCTTCGCGTGGATCTTCTGAACTCTTTCTTGCTGACTCCGAACTCCCGCGTCTTAACGCTACCGCGAGCCTCGAACAATATTCTCCTCGCTTCGGCCTTTCTCTATGCGAACTGTCTGTCGAATAAGAGCGAACTCCATACTGGCAATGATCGAGCTCTTCTATTAGACTGAACCGAACTCCCGACTGGTTAAGCTCGATTCTTGTAATAAGATATCTTTAACTCCAAGAGGATTATTATGTAATAATGACGTGGACAGATCCAAGTGGATCCTACCGAAGATGTGTGGGATTCGACCCCAACATGAAGGTGTTCCATTCAACAACACTCAGGGACGCCGCCCACATTCAACCGATCGGTTGGGATTTTGGGAAACATCCATATTTTTTAATTTTAGGGCTACCCCTATTACTTATAATGCGCAAACCTTCTGTAGCCGCAAAGATATACTTTCTATACAAATTTATAGTTTTAAAGGTGTTCTTATTTTCCTCTTCTTTGTTTAATTGTTTTCATATTGCAAAAACCCTTTTGTAGTTCCTTCTTAACTTTTGATCCTTTTTCTACAATGATCACATGTACTTAGGTCATGTGTGAGTAGTCTCATCAAGGAGCTTAGGGATTCCAAAAGAGATGTCGTTATAAATGGCTCGATATGTATTCTCCTGCTATGGTTTATATTGTTGTTATCTGTCTTCAATTGTTATTAAAGCCTTTGATGGATTAGGCTAATTCACGTATTGCCCATGATCTAATTCCCCAAGCCACCAAAACTGGTGTTGAATTGATGAATCTAAAAAATAACCTTATAATCTGTAAATAATTACAAGAGAATGCCATTACAATAAAAGTTTTAAAGACAAAAAAAAAATTTCCGTGGAGGGGTAAAATAGTAAAATTACCGCTGTTGGGACGCGGATCCCGGATCTTAAAGTCGGGTCCTTTCTTCTGAAACAACTCTGACCCGAATATATCTGTTAAAATACCTATTGGGCTTAAATAAAATTAGGCCCATCCTTAATCTCTTCTACTTCAACATTTCGAATCTGCAGTAGATAATACCAAATAAAAACATTAGCTACACAAATCAAACAATACCATAACTATTATTCCGGATCAATTATACTACTCTGTATATTGCCTTAACAAACAAATCTCATAATTTATGCTTCCTAAAATAAAACGTATTTATTTTGATTCCATATAATAACAAATCAAGCATATTCTTTACTTATTCTAAATCGGGAATAAGTTAGCAATTAATTTTTTGATTAATTACACTCAAATCTCGCAAAAATCTTACCATATCACCGCAAACAATTCATTCCAATGTAAAAATATATATGTAGACGGCAAATTAAATGCAAAACTAATTAATTCCTATTTCCCTATATTAATTTGAAAGATACTGTATTGTAACTTATTGGATAATTAGACACAAATCTCGCAAAGATCTTTCCATATCAACACAAACTATCAATGCAAATTTTAAAATATTTCTTTAAATGCAAAACTCAATCATTTGTATTTCTCTATATTGAAAGATATAGAATTATAACTTATTATATATCCCTTATTAGTTGGTATTAAAAATCACACAATCTCTTCAATATCCATATTCAGTTCGATATTGATATACCAAACAAGTAAATCTCCCTAAATCAAGCATATACCTTTAAGATCCTGTCCCAAATTATCTTATACGGCCTATATTCTCTAAAACCTAATAAAACTAAAGGCTCCATACGATTACTATAAATATAGTAAACTGCAGTAGAAATAATTCACCTTTCAAAGCTTTACCATTACCACTTCACTATTTCTCTAAGAAAATGGCAGCTGTTCAAGCATTCACCCCTCTTGCTGACATTAAGCCCTTCAAAACACATTGGAAAATTCAAGTTAAGATTGTGCATTCGTGGACACAATACACTCAATTCACAGAGGAAACAGTTGAAATGGTTCTTGCTGATACATCTGTAAGTATAAGAACTATCATTATTCAATCAAATAAACGTTTATCAATCATCAATAACTCTATTTGATTAACATGAGTTCTTTTTATCTGTTGCCAGGGTACTTTGATTCATGCTACTGTTAAGAAGCCACAAGTGAGCAAACTCCAAAGGTTCATAGTTTCTGGAGAATGGCGTATTATCGAGCATTTTACACTAACCAAATCAACAGGAAAGTATCGAGCCACGAAACATGGTTTGAAGATGTCCATGATGGAAAAAACTGTCATAAGTCGCACTCCTGCTGTTTCTGATGACATTTATGTGGATCTGGCAAGCTTTCCAGATATTTTGAATGAAGCAGGATTGAGTGAAAACATCTTAATTGGTACTATATATATCTTACTTTCCATTGTATTTTTTTTTCTCTATTATAATAGGAACTTCTTCATGAAAATATAATTTATTACTCTCTTATTTTGCAGATGTTCTTGGACAGGTTGTTAGTTTCAATGAAATGTGAACAACAAGATCACAAAGAGACTTGAGTGTGAACTCAGAGACACAAAGTAAGTACAGTCAATATCTACTTTATTTTATATAATCATGCATAAATCTATACTAAAAAGTTTCTAACAATTTTTGTTATATTGTAGTGATGAAAGGCTGAAATGCACTCTTTGGGGGAGATTTGCTGAGGCAATGTATAATGCATGTCAAAATGCAGGGACTGAGAGAGTGATTTTCTTGCTTCGGCTTGCAAAGATCAACTCATTTAAAGGTATAGAATGTTGTTACTGGATTCTGAATGCATGATTTTGAAACAAAACTGAAATCAGAACATATGTGAAAATACTAATATGTTGTTGTTTTTAGGTGAAAGAGCTGTTTCAAATTCATTTGATATGTCTCTATTGGAAATCAATCCTAACTACCCTGTTGTTCTTGAGTTTGTGGCCAAGTAAGATATGTTTGCAATTCACATTTCTTTTGCTAAGGAGAGAACTGTGAATCCTATTTATATTATCTAAAGTTTATTTCGTTTTCTTTTATTTGTTAACAATAGTTTACCACCTGATGTTATGCCACTTACTATCGAAGACTCAAAGGCAAAACAAGTGAATGCAGAACAGAGAAAAAAGGATTACTATGATCGTTTTCCAAGGAAAACCATCTCTGGACTCTTTTGTTTTTCTGAGGTATTAGTATTTGATAATATTATTTTTTCTATCAACTATTAAATTCTCTGTCTATACTACTAATTATCTATTTTTTTTTTTGTTTAGACTATTAAATTAGAAAATGTTTACTAATTTTCTATCAACATAATTTGTACCATAATGAATATCGACACAGACTATTCTTGGTATTTCTTTAGTTGCCTCAAGTGTAGCAAAACTGCCTATAAGATTCCAAAGGTTGAAAATGAGATTGTCAAGAAACGTAAGAAAGAAATGTTTTGGTGTCCAACATGTAAGGAAGACACTCCTAAGGTGATACCAAGGTAGGACTTTGAGATTTGCTAATATATATCTACATTTGTCAGCCTTAAATCTATGTATCTAATCTACTTTCCTGTTCCTTTGATATGTAGGTATCTTTTAAACGTTGGAGTAATGGATAGCACTGGAGACACTAAATGTCTTATCTTTGATAAAAGTGCACAAGAGATAATCGGTGTGTCTGCAGAGGATTTGCTTGAAGGGAAGTGGGATGAGGTAAACAAATTTGTTGTTAATAGGTATATAGACCATAATATTCATATCTCTTATATACTTTTATGGTGGATCATAACAGATTCAGGACCCTACAAACTTGCCTCAGCAAATCAGAGATTTGGTTGGAAAGACTTTCCAGTTTCTGGTGACTGTTAGAGAAAATATACTAACCTTTGATTTGTATTGATGAATCTTCATATATAAGCCCCATTTTAGTAGCTAAAACTGCATACAAAAGAAAACACATGTTAGTAACAAACAAACAGAGACTAAGATTAAATCTACTAATCTGACGATATCTATACTATAAATGATTAACTTAATTAATAGTATAGATATATAAGTACATATATTTTAAATGGCATATCTGCAAGTATTTTCAAGATCTTAAGCTATAAAAATCTATCTACTCTTCTAAATCGTTAACAAATTGGAATAGTATAGCAGTTGAGATAAATCAGTTTTAAAAGATTTCATTGTTGTAGTATAACAACTGTTTAAGAGACCAAAGCTTACATATTTAACCTACTAATATACAAGATTTTAACAATAAAAATAAGAATCAATCAAGTATATATTATTATGAATATGGAAAAGAAAATTTATTCTGTAATCTTTTCAGTTTAATGCTATCACACTAAATCAGGATGAGACGATTACTTTATAATCATTACATAACCATTTAACACCTTCAATCCTAATCTACAGCTACTCGGCTCATTAGCAAAGAAACATCTATAAGGTCAGTCTTTTAAGCTCTTTCAGCATTGAACATGTTCATTTACAAATGACATAATTGGAATTAATTTCTCTCACATATCAATTTTGTTTTTCAGGATGAAGAGAAGAAAAAATGAAACAGTAAAAGAAAATAACAATGTATTGCAGACACCTAACCCAAAGCGTTCTAGGCCTCAGCAGAATGATGAAAACATAAATCCAAATCTACAGAACCAACAAGATAGGAGTGATGTTCAAGTAAAAGGGATTTTTAATCGATTGAGATCTGGAATAGGTAACATACCAGCCCAGATGTGTGATTCTGAAGCCTTACAGACAGTAACTGGTCCTTCTTCTTCTGCAACCATACAAAAGGAAACACAAGGTATGTAAACATTTATATTCCAACAATATAGCATCTACATATGATGCTAACTAATATACAACCATACTGGTTTATGATTTGAGTCTACAGTTACTTTTAATACGAGTGTAAGATCAGCAAAAAAAACAGCAAGGACACAGAGAAGACCTTTTCAAGATGTGCAGAACAGTATCAATACATCACAGCTTCACAGCGAGGTTCACCAAACTCCACTTAATCCACATAAGCCACCAGAAAAAAAGGGGAAAAAGTGGAGTCCTCCATCTGTTAATAGCAAACAAGGTATACATGACTCTCAATAATATGACTATTACATAAAAAGTATTAATAGATCAACACTGATGGAGTAATATTGATTTCATGAAGCTACTAAGGGTATTATACTTACCAATTCAAGAAACACTCTGAGGTTCCCAAAGTCTCTGGCAAAGGAGAAAAAAACATCTCACAAGAGTATTGATACAACAATCGAAGAAGACTCTGATGAGATCTTGAATTCAAAGGAAGAAACATTTATTAATATGAGTAAGTAAAAATCAGTATGATATATTTTCTAAACTTAATAAAGCATTCACTAATCAGGGGGAAAAAATATTATAGGGGATTTGGAGGAAACACGTGAACAGGTTTACGAGTGTAGTAGTCCAGATGAAAATGATTCAGAAACATCAGAAGATTACGAAAACATAGACGATATCCCAATCGAAGTCAAACAAAGATATGAGTTTTTATCTATGTTAGATGAAAGTTTGACCAAAGCTTTTGGAGAAAGAAAAACTCCTACTGTTTCTAGCAGAAAGAACAAAAACACAGGTACTACATCATTGGTTTAGTTCTAATTCTTTTCTTAAACAAACTTTACTTACGCTAAACTGTCTTTCTGTTATTGTAGAATATCTAGATCATGGAGATCCTGTCTACTCATGTACCTACTGCGGTGCTATTATGTGGTATGGAGAACGCATCAACAGACATAAGAAAGTTCGTAAACCAATTTTTACTCAATGTTGTTTGCAAGGATCTGTGAAACTGCCTTTCCTCCATAATCAACCAGAACTGTTATTTGCTTTGCTAACCAATGATGATGACATGAGTAGACACTTTAGAGAGAACATCAGAGCATATAACATGATTTTTTCGTTTACTTCTCTTGGGGGTAAATGTGATAATTATGTTACAGCGGGAAGGGGTCCTAATATGTTTCAGATTCAAGGAGAGAATTACCACCAGATGGGAAGTTTGAAACCTGGAGAAGGTGAATTTCCTAAGTTTAGTCAGCTATAAATAGTTGACACCGAGAACGAAGTTGAAAACAGAGCAGGAATTTTAAGGTACATTTCCTATCTCAAACTTTTATATCTCAAAACAAGCAATAACAATATCCAGACTTTGTGTTTTCTTCTGTAAGTATTAGTGTCGTTGCTAACTAAATTTATATTTCAGCAAAGGAAAATCTGCTGGGAAATATAAGAAGAAGCCAGAGCTGAGAAAAGAAATAATTGAGGCGATAATAAAGCTGCTAAATGAAGTTAATCCATATGTTGCTCATTTTAGACAAGCTCGTGATAGGTTTAATACCAATCCTGAACAGAGCTTTCACATGAAAATAGTGAGTGACCGTGTCAAAGATGGAAGAACATATGCAGTGCCAACAGCTTCAGAGGTCGCAGCGCTGATTCTAGGTGATTTTCACATTGGTATGCCAAGTCGTGACATTATTATTGAAGAAAAATGTGGGTATTTACAAAGAATCAGTGAAATAGAACCATGTTATCTTGCTCTACAATACCCTTTGTTGTTTCCAAAGGGTGAAGATAGTTATAGGACATGTATTAAGAAAGGGAATAACCATGGTAAAAAGAAAAACAAGCCCGAAGGAACTGAGGAGAATGATTGCATAAGTTTGCGTCAATGGTATGCGTATCGTATACAAGAGAGAAAGAATGAACAAAGTATCCTACTAAGGTCAAAACGGTTGTACCAGCAGTTCTTGGTTGATGCTTATACCACCATACACTACAAGAAAACTGGATTTTAGCGACTACACTAAAAGTCGCTAAATAGTCGCTAAATGGTGGGTTACGACTAAATAGCGACTAAAACGTGTAGTCGTAAATCGAGAGTCGCTAAAATTAATAGTCGTTAAATTAGTCGCCATTTAGCGACTACTTTACGACTAATATTCGTAGTCGTAAATGTAGTCGTACAGTAGTCGCCAAATTTAGTGACTAATTGACGACTATATTGTGACTTTGGTCTTAATTATGTATTTATATATTTATACAGTATTGTATTTATTTATACAGTATTTATGTATTTATACAATATTTATGTATTTATACAGTATTTATGTATTTATACAGTATTTAGGTATTTAAATATTTTTACTAATTATTTTATAATATGTTTTTGGAAGGTACTGCTATTAGTAATAAAAATTATACATTTAAAAGAAAACCATATTACAAATAAAACTAAAAACATTATTGAAAATAAAATTACATCATCCTCCTAAAAACATAATTAACACAAAGCAGATAACAATTTTTAAGAAAGAACTTGGCTTAATTAACTCTTTTGATTTCAATTCTTCTTCCTTGTCTTACTCTTTCATGCTTTTTCTGCTCCAAAAACTGCCTCATGGTTATTTCTATTATCCAACTCTACAATACAAACACACATAAGACCAAAGCATCAAAGGCTATATCAATATGAGCTGAAATTAAAACAGCAAAGAACTTGACGAGATACGCCAAAACAGTTCTTAAGCAAGCATCATTTAGGCAACTTAATCTCCGGACATCACAATCAAGAACTTGAATATCTACATTATCCAGAGAAACATATGTAAATTTATTGGTCAGATGGAAAAAGATGTCCAATCCTTAGCCTACAAGAGAAATCGAGATAAAGTAAGCAAATATCAAAACTTACCAATCCAAGCAGTAGCAACAGATGCTAAAGAAGTTCCAACTGCAAACACGACCATGTGCCTCTTGAACAAGTCCTAAGTGATTAAACAAAACTACATTTAAGCAATTATACACATAATTGTTTGTAAAAACTTTGGTAATCCTCCTTACCAGTCTTGATTTCTCGTCCCAATCAAACCTGCAACATATGTGATAACATCTCAAACACAGCATGAAGACTGATACGACATCACACAATCAGACTTCTTTTTAACATTCAACCAATCAGACTTCTTTTTAAAACAATCAAACAAAGAATCAGACTTCTTAAAAACAATCTATCCTAAGACAGACACACAATCAGACTTCTATCCTAAGCCACACAAAACAATAAGAACAAGCAAACAGTCAAACACACTAAACATTTTGAAAACAATCAGACTTCTTCTATCCTAAAACACACAAAGCAATCAGAAAAAACCACTATAGAAGGGACCAAGAGTCATACCACGTCGGGTCTGGCAACGGTGTCGGTTGTAAACAGATGACGGTCCGGCACCATAAGCAGAGCAGTCAGAGCCTCAAGCGTATCCTCCTGGAGATCCGGCAATTCGTTTTGGAAGTTGTTACCTTGAGAGGAACAGCCAAACGCGTGACTCTGAGCCTCAGAGTTCGGATGTGGAGACGGAGGAGGATCCTGCTGTGGAGACAGAGGAGGATCCTGCTGCGGAGAAAGAGGCTGTCGGTGTTGAGGCGTTTGTTGTGGACGCCGTCGCTGACGAGGCGCAGATTTTTAGGTCTACGGTTTGCAGCGGTGGAACCAACGGCTCTCTGAGACGCGTTGGGAGCATTTCTTCTCTTCCGGCCTTGCTTACCAGTCATCTTGTTCCGGATTTGCAGGAAACAGAGTGAAGAGACGAAGGGTCAGACGAATTGCTTCGCGAATCGAGGAATTAGGGTTTGATTTGAGGATGTTTTGGGGAAGAAATGGAGATTAGGGTTCGATTTGAGGAAGCGGAAGAGGAAGAATCGAGGAATTAGTGTTTAATTTGTTTGAGAGAAAGAGTAAGAATCGAGAAGAAGAATGAGGAAGATGACTTAGGGTTTGCGAAAGAGGAAGATGACTTAGGAATTCTCGGGGTGGAGGTGAGTTTAGTTGGGCCTGGGCCGACTTCGTTTTAGTTGGGCTTGGTTTCGCTGGATCCATTAGCCTAGTTATTTTTCTTAGTCGGAATTTAGTAGTTAAATAGTCGTTAAAGGAATTTAGTAGTTAAGTTTAGGGTTTGAAGTATAGGATTTGGGGTTTAAGTTTAAGATTTGGGGTTAAGTTTTGATTAAAAATAAGATTTGGAAAACTATAATTTTTATAAGTGTTAGTTTTCAGTTTATGGATATATTATTGTAACTAGATAATTTTTTTGAATTTTGAGATTTAAAGTTTTGTATTTAGGTTTTAGAAAAAATGGTGAAGTTTGATTATATAAACAGTTATGGAGACTAAATAGTGACTACAAAACCACCATAAGGTGACTATGTTTTGTAGTCACATATTAGTCACCAAATTAGCGACTTTTTTGTGACTATTTTTTTCCGTATGCAATGTAGTCATAAAGTAGTCGCCTATTTAGCGACTACAATCAATAGTCATTCAAAATAGTCGCCTATTTAGCGACTACGATACGACTATAGTCGGGGTCTTATATGTTAGTCGTATAATAGTCGCTATATTACGACTATTTTAATGACTACAGTATGTAGTCGTTAATTAGCGACTATTATACGACTATATACTTGTAGTCGTAACATTAGTCGCAGAGTAGTCGTATTTTAGTCGTATAAATTAGCGACTACACAATTAGTCGCCGACCGTAGTCGGTAATCGCCTGTTTTCTTGTAGTGATAGAAGCTAATAGGCTCAAATATATTAAACTGAATCAGTCAAGTTTACGAGCTTCGAACTATGATTCAGTTAAAGAGGCGGCAACAGAAGGAAAGACAGATATGAATGAAGAAGGAAAAGCATTTTATCTACCAGCTACTTTTGTTGGTGGGCCAAGATACATGAAGAACATGTACATGGATGCAATGTCTACATGTAATCATTATGGATTTCCTGACCTATTCATTACGTTCACATGCAATCCAAAATGGCCTGAGCTGGTAAGATTCTGTACTGAGAGAAATTGTAATTCCGATGATAGGCCAGAGATCATAAGCAGAATGTTCAAAATGAAGCTGAATTCTCTAATGGATGATTTAACGAAGAAACATATATTGGGGAAGACTGTTTCATGTAAGTGATTTATTTTAATAGTTGCGTTTACAGTCTACAATTTAAGTATCTGTTTCTGCTATTTTTAAAAATATCGTTTACCTAATATTATTTTCTCATGTTAATCTCGAAGCAATGTATACAATTGAGTTCCAGAAAAGAGGTCTTCCCCATGCACATATATTGATATGGATGCATCCAAGTTCTAAATTTCCAAAACCAGAAGACATTGATAAAATCATTTCTGCGGAAATTCCTGACAAGAATAAAGAACCAGAACTTTATGAGGTCGTTAAAGACA